GCAAAGTTATGATGTTGACATTGAATTGAATATTCCTGGCACCAACACAAAATCTGCCAATTCATTGGACTTAAAGAACCCTTATTTCCGCTACACTGGTCAAACACCACAACCACCAGCTGGAGGAAGTAGCCAATCCCCATCTGATTCTTATTGGAATAGTGTGGCTACTGGTAATCTATCAGGTGGTAAGTAGATGTTTCAATATATTTTTGCTGTTGTTTTCAATATTCAAGTAATGTTATCTACATCACCTACCTATGCTGATTCCATATAGGGTAAATCAGGCATTGACCAACTAGTGTTATTAATTAAAATTTATAAAATGTTATTAAGTTTTTACGAAATTAGATATTACTATAGTATAATCCTTTCCATCTGGTTACTGCACGAACACCCATTTTCCTCCCTTTGGGTTACTACAGCAACATCCATTTTCCCATCATCCACTCCCTTTGGGTTATTGTGCCAACACCCATCCCCCCCCATCGGGTTACTGCGCCAAACCCATTCTCCCCACCCCTAATCGGGTTACCAGAATTAAAAATTTTTACCATTGAGATTAGTTTGCAAGAACCTGAATAAATGAAAATCCAAAGGAGCTATGTCTGGTGAATATGGCAGGCAGGGTAACACATCCCAGTTAACCTGCAACAATTTTTGCCAGGTTGCCAAAGAAATGTGAGGTCTGGCATTATCCTGATGAAAAACAACACCTTTCCTGTTCACTAATTCTAGGCATTTTTCTTGAACTGCTGCCTTTTTAATTCATCCACTTGTGAGCAGTACTTTTCAAAAGTACAGGATTTCATTTCAATCCCCCCCCCAGGTGCACAGCATGACTTTCTTAGTCCTGTCGCTTACCTCAAGATCTTTTTGCTGAACATTGTAAATGATATATTTCTCATTACCCGTCACAATCTGCTTCAAATAGAATGCATTTTAACTATTTATACAGCAATTCACAGATGAAATGCAATCCAAAAGATTTTTTTTCACTCAGGTTGTGTCACGATTTGAGTACCCGAGCTGTGTCACAATTTGAGTACCCAAGCTTCACTAAGTGCTCATGGATGGTGGATTTTGATAAATTTACTATTTCTGCCAATTTGTGCATTGTGTAATGCAGGTTATTCTCAGTCATTTTGTTGATTTGGTGATTCTCTGTATTCTTCATCAATAAGGCTACAATCAGCAACTCTAAACTTAGTGAATGACTTCCATACAATTCCATCAGCTAAAGCACCTTCTCTGTACACAATATATATCTTTTTTTGTTGCTTGTGAGACATTTTTGCGTTTATGGTAAAAAAAATTTTTAATAATGCATCAAATGTCTAAAATGCACCTTATAATCTTCCATTTTCATAGGGATATAAAATTGACATGAATTAAGTAATTTTAAACTTTCTTTCTCAAGACATTGTTTGAACTGTGCTCTAATCACAAATGTAAGTATATGATATCTGTCGATAACGTTTTGGAACATGAACTAAAAATTGGCATGAATTTTCCAGACCAACCAATATATATATATATATATATATATATATATATATATATATATAAATGGCCTTTTTTTTTTAAACAGGTTTTGTTGAATACAACAGACAAGGAAAACTTAATTAATTTCTTATGTACTTTTTCCAGCATTCTTACATTTTTTTTTTTTCATTTGGTGGGAGTAAGGGAGTGAAAAAGTTGTCTATTGGACAACAACTAAATCTTTTTAACATCAAAATATGTAATATTTTTTTCTAATGCTTTTATAATTTTATCTAATAGCTGGCCACTTGTATCCAAGTATATCTGTCTACTAAGGCAGTTAGCCAATCCATTTTGCAGACACCTGCTCAAACACATTTGTATTCAGAACCCGCAAAGCCCACTTGCGGTTTATACTGCAATTATGCTGAAAGGATCATAGTTACAGTTTTCTGGGATAGAGCACATTATTTGGTGTGATCAACAGTCTGAACATGCTCAAACCCTCAGTCACAATGACTTGTGAATTTGTACTAGTACAACCATTGACAGTTCCCAAATAGTTCTGTCTATCCCATTTCACTCTCAAGGCTTGGGTCAACTGGTGGCATGGTTTTCAGACACTTTCCAGTGGTGCTGCATGCTGGGATCACCTTCCCAAGCTGATAACATCAAGAAGATATGGTGAGATTTAAACACTAGTCCCAGCGACGAAAAGCGAATGTTCTAGCCACTCAGCTATGTGCCCATAGAACTGTATATCAGATTTAGTTTTTTTTTTTTTTTTTTTTTTTTTTTCCAATTCTTGGTAAACTAAGAGACCTCTTGGAAGTGACATTTTCAACTTTTAAGTTCACAAAAGTAAAGTGTTTTTTTTTTTTTTTTTTTTTTTTTGCAATGTCTAACTTGTGCCCACAAAAAAACTGTGTCAAAAGATTAGTTATTCTCTTGACATCACAGTTTTGACTCCCTTGGCAATGTTTATTAAAAAGTGATGATTTAGAATTTTAATAAACCCCAATCATATAAAAGGGGATTTTATTTATTTTCTATATTCTTGAGAATTGACAACAAAGATGTTAAACACTGTTTATTTATTAGCTTGCATTTTTACTAGAATAATTTTATTTTATTTTTTTCATTTCAGAAGTTTGCCTTTTAAATTTCTGAAACATTTTGAACTAGGCTTTCAGTTCTGGGTGCACCATGTGTAAGCCTGTAGTATAGAACACCCTTAGTTCTACCCAATGAACTTGTTGGCTGCTATATTCCATAGGTATTAAAACTAGTATTTGGTGGCCAAGGAAACAAAGTGAATTCTTAAGTTCTGGGAGAACTTGTTCTGTCTAGTTGGGTATATTTTTCTTCTGTGGTATGTTACTGGCAACTAGAAGAACAAGGGGAGTGGTTTTAAATGTAGAAAAAGACAAAAGTTAATATCAGGGCAGTTTGATTTAAAAACGGATTTAATTTAGTGTCTGTACACTACTTGGCTGGCCAAGTAACTTGTAAGTTTGTTTTTTGTTTTATTTTGTTTTACTTTTGTTTAGTTTTTTTGTTTGTTTTTTTTTGTGTGTTTTTTGTTTTGTTTTTGTGTGTTTTTTTGTTTTGTTTTTGTGTGTTTTTTTGTTTTGTTTTTGTGTGTTTTTTTGTTTTGTTTTTGTGTGTTTTTTTTGTTTTTTTTTGTGTGTTTTTTTTTGTTTGTGTGTGTCTTTTGTGTGTGTCTTTTGTGTGTCTTGTTTTGTGTGCAACATTCACCATTTTGAAAGTATTTGAGGTTACATTGTCTGCTTATATATTAGGTTGTTACATAAATTTGTTAGCTTTTTATAATATATTTTAAAATTTATTCAACAATATATTCCTCTTCATTGTTTACGACTTCCTGCCAACGATTCACTGTTTAATTCCTTGACAGTAGAAATCATTAGGTTTTGACTCAAAAAAATTCAAGCCACATTTTAAGTGCCACGTTATTGTTGAACAAGACATCCCCCACAATACTACTAGAAAACAACCGAAAAATAGGGTAGTCTGAAGGGGATAAATCAGGAAAATATGGTGATGTAGCAGAACTTACCAATCCAGCCCTTTTAATTTCATGTTTGTTCATGTTAGCAATATGGGAGTGAGCATTGTCCTGGTGAACTGATCCTCCTTGAACCTCTGTTCAGTTGTTCAACATATAGCTTAACATTGACCGTTTGGTTGTTTTGAAGCATTTCATCTCTGTACACAGCATAAATGTTTCAAGCAGCTTTGGCAGCTTGATTAAAAGCAAAGAGAAGTCGAACATGCTTGTTCTTCTTTATTTGGCATCTCATCTCAAAGGGCTGTCTAATCTGAAATAAGATTTTAATAATATTGGACAACATTTTGACAGGATAACCAGATTTACTAAGAAGCAAAAAATGCTATGAAAGATTATTCTTTGAGATCATTCATAGGACATCAGAAAAAACAAACGAATCTGTGTAACAACCTAATACCTCTGACCTTAATATATGCTGTTATGAGACAGTAGCTGTAATTCTTGTGACATGTCATTGGTCATAATGTTTTTAGCAAATCTAAAGTTTTTTTTTTTTTTTTTATAAGTTATAAAATGTATATATTAAAGTTACATATAATTATTTTTTCAAAAAATGCAGTTTCTAGATATTTACAAAATTTAACTTGGTGTGTTTTCTTGTGTATAATATGAGAAAATTTGAATAAATATTAAAGGCAAAATTTCTAGAAATTTTTACTCAGCTTAAAAAACCTTTTATTTGAAACACCAAGATTGTAAAGCACAAAGTAGGCAGGTGTTGATAACAATTGTTTGCAAAAGGGAGTTGATATGTCGGCCATATTTGTTCTTTGGAAATCTCTTTTTTTTTTTTTTTTTTTTTTTTTCATCCTGTACAATGCTTGGCGGCTACTGGGGGTAAAGGGTTGCAGAGTAAGAGGTACATCTTATGTGAATATGTGTGGAAGATAATATTTAAGCCTAGACTTGAACAGATTATAGTGATTGGGGAAGCATCCTTTTGGGAGCCAGTTCCACAAATGTATTCTTTAAAAATAGAATAATTTTGCTCACAAGATTTTTTTTTTTTTTTTTTTTTCTAAGAATGAAGAGAAAACTTTATTTTCATAATTTATTAATATATAGAAATATAATAAAGTCATATGAAACAGAAAAGTCTGAGATTATTTAACTGCTTAAAATGTATTACCAGGTATGTCTAGATAGCACCATTCCTTGAAAATTGAAAAATAAATTTTGAAACGGAAATTACATGAAACTGCAATGGCTAAACATCCAATTCATTTATATTCTTTAATAGTGTGAAAAGTTAAATATCTTATTAAATATATGTACGGCATTGAGATTTTAATGGATGATATGGTACGACTACAAAAAAAAAAAGAATTACATATAGCATACTGTAAAATGGGGTAATATACTAAAGAATATAACCCTTGGAAAAGGTATGAATCCAACTCTTCTCCCCCCAGCTATGGATAAATATCAGGACAGACTGGATTCTATAGCCTTGGGTGGCAACCTGTCTAGGAGAAGGAAAACTCTGAATTCAAAACTGTGTACTATGCAATTAAGGAAGGATTGTTTAAATTGACTCTATGATCCTGACTACGGTTGACTTTTTAGCTTCAGAAATGTGATCATATTATACTCGAGAAAATAGGGTATACCTCTGACCTAAACATAGGCAGTTATTATGAAATGGCATCTGTCATTCTTCCTGCATGCCACTGGCAGCTATTCTTCAAGATCATTCGCAGAACATAAGAAAAAACAAATGAATATATGTAATAAACCAATACCTCTGAGCTTAATATGCAGTTATGAGACGGTAGCTGTAATTCTTGCGACATGCCATTGGTCATAATGTTTTTAGCTCCCCTCAAGGATTTTTTTAACTTTTATACAAGTTATAAAATGTATAAGTTATATTTAAAATTTTGCAAAAGTGCAGTTTAGTCAAGTATAAAGATAAAGGAAAGAGTCAATGGCTGTAAGGCAACACATTTTCAAGAAGAAATAAATAAATCTGTTTTTGAAATCCTGGGTTTGAACTCTAACTGCTTCCTGTATTGGCGAATGCAGAGGTATCTCATCTACTGGGTAGACTGCAGGAGAAATTCAGTTTTTAACTTGAAAGAAAAATAATAATAATCATAGCAGTTAGTAACAGCTAGTGACATCAAGCAGTAACAAATAAATCTTCATAGTTCTGAATTTTTTTATTTTTATTTTATTTTTTTTTATTTTTTTTCCCTGATGCACTTTTTCACCATATGTCAGGATATCATTCTCCACCACTTTCCAAGATTGTCAGTCAAAAGGTACATTCCAAATTATTTGCATATATTATTGAAAATCTTCATTCTTTTCTTTATTAGAACATATATGTTTACATGGATTATTTTTCTGGTGGAAAGAAAACCCAGTGTGACCTCCCAGTTGCACGGACTGATGCACATTGTGGTTTGTGCCGCCTTGAGGAGTTTGAAAGTTAACATTTTCAGTCTACCAATCTGTGGCCCCAATTCCCCCACTGAAACCCTGAAATTCCTCCATATGGGGGGGGGGGATTTCCCCACTGGTTGAGAACACCTGAACTAGACTTTCCATTTCTTTTCTTGTTTTCTTTTTCCACAGGAAATCAATCATCTTACATTAACGGGATTCTGAATGGCCTACCGGACAATGGTCAAGCAGTTGGTCAGCAAGGAGTTGTGCAAACTAACTTGATCCCTTTGTGTAAGTACAATAAAAAAAAAAGAAAAGAAAAAAGAAAAAAAAATGAAAGAGAGAAAAAAAAATAAATTTCTTAACTGCAATTTTTTCTACCATTCCTCAACTGCAATCATTACCATGGTAACATAATTCTTCCTCCTCTCATCTTCACCATGCTGACATGCCTTGCCCTACCACACCACTTGCACCCTCCTAGCCACAGGCTGACATGCCTTCCCACATCCCCTTCATCATCACCCTGCTATTCATCATCAAAACACTCTGCATTTCTTCACATATTCCAAAATTCTTCATCTACGTCCCATTTTAAATTGGGGGCCGTGGGTATTAGATAAGTATATAAATAAGTTCATTAAGCAATTTTTTTTTTTTTTTTTTTTTTTTTCCTTTTCCTTTGTGGATTCTTTTTATTCTGTTGCTTATCGGTTCTTTTCATCTTTTTGTCAGTTTCAGGTGTTCTTTTATGTGCTTCACTCGATTCCAGTTCTTTTCAATTTTTTTTTTTTCTTTCTTCTCTTTGTTGATTGGCTCCACCTTTTAGTTTTAACTCTTGGCCTTTGTTGCTTTTTCTATTCCTTTCCTCTTCTTGTTTCGGTTTCTCTATTTCTTTCTGTCTTTTAATGTTTTCTTTGTGCCTTGCCTCCATCATTAACATTGTCTGCATGTCCTTATCCAGCACAGAGATTATACACACCCACTATTTACACCGCCCATACTGTTTCTGGCCATTGAAACACTAGTTCATTTTAATGTCCCCACCAATTTTATCCTTTCCTTTGATCTTGACTTTCAATCTCAGATGTATGAAATATCCCAGAAGTGGAAGTGCCAAGAGAACTGTACAATTTCTGGCACTTCCTGCGTTTATATATGCAGGGCTCTAACTTGTGTCCAACTTTACAATTATCAGGGAAAATAGTTTACAATCCAGCCCTCAAAAACTTTTTTCTTTTTTATTGTTGCATTGTTGGCAGCACCAGATTTAGGACAAATGAGACCCTGTGCTAGTAAAGTTACGGGGGACCCAGTGCTTAATCACAGTAGTAAATCCAGCACTGATTATTGGGTTCTCTTTTTATGTCATCCCTGTCTGTCTACCATTTTTTTTTTTTTTTTTTTTTTTTTTTTTTTTGTCCCACAAAGGCTATTGGCATTACTTTGGGGCAAAATTTAAAAATCTTTGATAGTTCTGTGTGTATGTAATATAAGTATGTTATACGTATTTGTGTTTATTCAACACCCACAGAACCCACCTGTGGTTTATACTGCAACTATGTTTCTGGGAGAGAGCATGTTACCTAGCATGATCAACAATCTGAACAAGGCCAGCACCCTCAGTCACGATGACTTGTGACTTCGTGCTAACACATCCATCAATGGCCCCTAATGGTTCCATCTACCCAATTTCACTCACAAGGCTTGAGTCAACCCGTTGTATGGTTTTCAGACACTTTCCAAAGGTGTTGCACACTGGGATCATCCTCTTCCAGGGCGATAACATCAGGAAGCCTCCTTCCTGAAAATCAACTCTGGTGAGATTCAAACCCAGGTTTCATGGTCAGAAAGCAAACGTTCTAACCGCTTGACTGCACATATATATATATATATATATATATATATATATATATCATTTCTCAGAATAATTCAGAAGATATGACAATTGGAAAAAATTCTTAGTTCTTGCCAACACATTTCATCAATTGGAATTAAGACACTTAACAGGTGTCTTAATTCCAATTGTATGAAATATTTTGCTCTGTTGAGAAAACATTGAGTACTTTATGGGTGAATCAGTTTTAACATTTAATGTTTAAAATTTCATATTGTGTTAATAGGATTCACTTGGATTATACCAATGGATTGCTTCCTCTGTGTGTATGTGTGTGTGTATATATATATATATATATATATATATATATATATTTATTAAAGACATTTTTTATGTTTAACGTTGTTATTTGTCCATTTCTTAATATATATATATATATATATATATATAAATCCATGTAGGCAGATTTAATATTGAAGCTCTGCCATTTCTTATGGCATTGAGCACATTTTTGCCAAGAATCAGCATTTGGGAAGACTCTTTTCATAGCTGCTCATCCTTTATATATATATATATATATATATATATATATATATATAATGGCTGAACAGCCAGGCATATCAAGTATGTCTGTCTGCTAGGGAAGACAACCACTCCCTGTTGTGGATCCCTGTTTAGGCACATTTGTGTGTTCAAAGCCCACCTGCAACTCTGCCGAGTGAGCTTTAGCTCTAGTTTCTGGGAGAGACGAGATCCTCTGGCATGATCAACGCTCATACTCCTAACTCAATTGATAAAACGCATTGCTTAGAGTTTTTTTTTTTTTTTTAATGAGCATAACAGCAACTTGCTATGGAAGAAAAATTTATTAACCCTTTTAAATTTCCACTACTATGGGCATAATTATATCTGTGATATAATAATTCACAGGCGTAATATTTTCTAATACTGAATGGAAAAAGAATGACAAACCTACTTTGTTGTCAGAGAGGGTTTTATATTGCTACGTCATACACAGTTAAAAACACATATGCATGTGTCCCATGTAGAAAAATTATAGTATATATGCCACAACAGTGTGTGTGTATATAAAAAAAAAAAAAAAGTGGGGGGACCTTACTTTCAATTTTCCTTGTAGTCAGGGTGGTTTCTCTATGAATCTGGGTAGGCCATGTGGTTTTTTTTTCTGTATGACCTACCACATTGGGCCAAGGAGGACCTTCTTCTCTTGGCTCTATATTGCAACTGCCCATTGTCACTCTATCCCTTACCGTCATGTGATCCTTTGTGACTATCTCAGCAAAGGGAGAAACAGTTACACACATAGTCTGGAGATTTCTAGCGACATAGAACTGACTGTCACCATGCTGTGTTGATTTCTATTTCCACACTACACTATACTCTTCAAGCACTATATCTATGATATTGAGTACTCTTCCTGCATAAATGTAGAAAATTTAATTACTTATGTGCATGTGTGCACGCTAAGCCTTTAACCTCTTCTCCGGCGTAGATGTGTATATAAGTTTTTACTGAACGTGCCCTTTTCAGACAAGAACGAATAAACCTGTCCAAAGCATAACATTCAAAAAACCAGCTGCTGACATGTTTATACTTTGATCTTGATTCTTTTTATGCCCTTTTAAAACAAGTCCAATTGTCACATTGGATACTCTAAAGTACCTCAGTTTCTTAGTTACTATATTAAAAACAAAAAATTTTGTCTGAAAATGAAACATTGGTTAATACAATGTGACTGTTACTTATATTATTCAGGCTGTTATCCTCATCTTCATTGCTATATTCAAAACGTTTCTGGGATTGTATGCTCTGGCCATCTTCGGGTGACTGAAATTTCAAACCGAACACTTTATTCCGTCCACAAGGGTAGATTGTTCTAATTCCACATGTCATGTCTCTTTCAGATGTCTCAGTTATTTCCCTTTAACTTTTTTGACCCAGTGGATAGACGTTGGTTAGATCCAGTGATTATTCCCAAAGAGTTGTGAGTTCAATACCAGGCCATGGCAGTGGTAAACCAAAACTTGGAGAGTCAAGTTAAAGGGAAATAACTGAGACATCCGGAAAAGGCATGGCACGTAGAACTCGAACAATCTACGTTGGTGAAAGAAATAAAGAGTTCGGTTTGAAATTCAAATCACATGAAGAAGGCTGGAGCGTACAACGGCAGAAATGTTGTGAATATGGCAATGAAGATGAGGATAACAGTCCAAATAATGTAAGTAATCATAATACCTAACTTAGAAATATAGACAGAATGTGACCGTTATATATGTGTTATAAAAGCATTTTATGGGTTTGCCCTCCTCTCCACTTTTATCCCCTATAAGTGTCCCTGCACCTGTTTTCCCGTGTTTTTAGTCCCACATGTCTTATTGCTTCATCCTTCTATAATTGTCCATTCCTTGTCCGTGTCCTTTCTATCTTTTTCTGTTTGCCCCTGTATTTGCACCAATGCTTGCATGCCTTTCATTTCCTTCCCCCCTTTGAAGATTGACTAAGATTTAAATGTCTTCAGAGACCAAAAATTCTCTCTGGAGATCTTGAAAAAAAAAAAAAAAGTTTCCCTTAATATATTTCTGGCAGTTAAAATTTTACTTAATGGTTTATTAACGCTTATCTGTAGGTGGGAAGACTTGTCACATGATCACATCTGTAGGCATCACACCTATTTAAACATATCACTGCTTTTCACATATTCTATCTTATGTACTTTGTCCATTTATATATATATATATATATATATATATATATATATATATATATTTTAAGATGCTATATTTAATGGGATAAAGTGCTCAGTACCAGAGATAGAGAGTATGTAAATATAAAAGTGAACATTGAAGCCAACACTCAGAAGCAACAGACTGTTTTATGCTAGGCGCAACGATCAGTGGCCTGAATGTTCAATGTTCACTATATATATATATATATATATATATATATATATATATATAATCCAAGCAAAAGTGAAAAAGTAATATGTTAAGTAAACATCTTCAGGTCAGCTGACCTGAAAATGACTACCTAACACACGAAGGTGAAACGTGTTGTCATGAAAAAAGCTTTTCCACTTTCTCATTTTGTGCTCTCAGTCAGGAAACGTCATATAGCCTGACGTGCTATACCATTTATCTACAGAGGAAGTGTCTGTTTAGCAAGATCAAATTACTGTTTTTAAACTACAAATTTGCCATGATTTCTTTTGAATGCTCATATGTTTGAAGCGTATCTTAATGTAAGCAAATGACATCATATATTATGGAATGGACATAATTGTCAGTTCGTTTCATAATATCTGATGTCACTTGTTTACGTTCAGATGCTTTGAGCAGAAATCATGGAAAATTTGTAGTTTAAAAACAATAATTTGACCTTGCTAACCAGGCACAGTGTGTCTGTATATTGTATGTATGTAATATATAATATATATATTAGTGAGTTCCTTGATGAATTTCAACTTAACATCAAGAAGCTGATTAGAGAACTAGAAAAGATTATTATAAAAATAGACATAATATTTCTATTAATCAATGAAGCATGTTAGAAAAATATATTGTGTACACACACAAAGGGGACTTGTTATTATCTCGGCAAAGAAGGGATTAAAAAAAAAAAACAATTTCTGATGTTTGGTCAGATTTTGGGGAGTGGGTCTAGTTTTTAAAAAAAAAAAAAATCTTTAATTTTACCATCCCAACTCCAAATGGATCAATAAGTTTGCAACCTAATGAAAATTGCATGTTTCCTGTCACTTTTTTTTTTTTAATTACGACATAATTTCCATCCTTGTCAATGCACTTAATTCATTGGTGAATATTATTCTAATAGATCTTGGATTATACAGTGAAAATTTTAGATCAAGATTCATCTGATAACCGGTTTAAGCTATAGACTTATTGATCCACCTTTTTAACTTGATTGCATGTTTGTTATTTTTGCTGGATAATTTGCAGAAGGTTGGTTTGCGCAAGTACTTATTCTTTCCCCCACATGACTTATGCTATGTACTATTGTAACATGCTAGTAACAAGACCTTTGCCAATGTATCGGTCAATGAAGCAGAGTTAGAAGAGCTTCATAATTGTTTTTTTTTTTTTTTTTTATTATTATTATTATGAGTTGTCTGAAGTGTAAGCTCAGAAGATATTACTATTTTTTGGCTAGTATTCTGTTTTTCTTGCAATATTTAGATAGTGATTCTACAAACATCAGTGAGTGGAATGAATCTAAAATGAAGAAAATAAGCTCCTAATGAGATTTGAATGTACATCCCTTGGGAGACTGTTTTTTCTGTGGCATCATCTTGCTAATTTAGTTATGGAAGTCAATCAAAGAGTCGTCTAAATTTAGCCATATTTTATCTTACTTTTTTTGCTCTCTCTCTCTCTCTCGTTCTAATTCTCCCCCCTCTCTCCCCTCCGTTCTTATTCTCCCCCTCTCTCTCCCTCCGTTCTTATTCTCCCCCTCTCTCTCCCTCCGTTCTTATTCTCCCCTCTCTCTCCCTCCGTTCTTATTCTCCCCCTCTCTCCCTCCGTTTCTTATTCTCTCTCCCTCCGTTCCTCTCTCTCCTCCTTATTCTCTCTCTCCTCCGTTCTTATTCTCTCTCTCCCCCTCCGTTCTTATTCTCTCTCCCCTCCGTTTTATTCTCTCTCCCCTCCGTTCTTATTCTCTCTCTCCCCTCCGTTCTTATTCTCTCTCTCCCCTCCGTTCTTATTCTCCCCTCTCCTTTCTTATTCTCTCTCTCTCCCCTCCGTTCTTATTCTCTCTCTCCCCCCCTCCGTTCTTATTCTCTCTCTCCCCCTCCGTTCTTATTCTCTCTCCCCCTCCGTTCTTATTCTCTCTCCCCCTCCGTTCTTATTCTCTCTCCCTCCGTTCTTATTCTCTCCCCCCTCCGTTCTTATTCTCTCTCCCCCCGTTCTTATTCTCTCTCCCCCCCTCCGTTCTTATTCTCCCCCTCATCTCCCTCCATTCCCCACACCCCCATTCTTTTTGCTTGTTCTCTCCCTCCCTCCCTCTCTCTCCTCCCCCAGCCCCATTTTTTGTTCGTTCTCTCCCTCCTCTCTCTCTCCTCCCCTTGTAACTTGTTTCATTAGGATTTCATCAAACTCGGCTTTATTGACATTGCCATGTCTCCACATGTATGGGAGAGTCAGTCACAGAGGTGATTGCCATGTCTCCACATGTATGGGAGAGTCAGTCACAGAGGTGATGGAGAGAAAAAGAATACAGATGATTTTGGCTAGATTGAAACCAAAACTATTCTGTTAAAAATATTCTTTCAAAAATTTTTAAACTACCTACGTCTCTCATTTTGTGCATATGTGTAGATGTGGCAACGTCAATGAAGCCCAGTTCAATGAAATCCTAACAAATGAAAAGCATCACAAAAGGAACCTTTCCAGTTTGTCATATTTTTCTAAATCTTGTTCAATTCCTAATCATGCCAGATTGTGTGTGCTCTCTCACTCTTTTCCCCAGAAACTGTAATTAAGGTCTGCTCAGCATAGTTGCAGTATAAATCACAGGTGGACTATATGCCTGTGAAGGCATCTGCAACAAGAATTAGCTAGCTACTCTATAGTCTCCCAAGACTGACAAAGCTTTGAATTTTGCTAAAAAGTTCTCATACCAATACCAAGAAGCCTTTCGAAAAATTTGATGTTTGATGAGATTTTTAAGCCAAGCAATTTTCAGCACCTCCCTTGAATAATATTAACAGTCTGACTTTTGTTTCTTAGTTTCTCAGTCTATAATTTTTAATACTCTAAAGACAGTAAATTCTGCTCTAATTTCAACATCCATCCTAGAGACACACACACAGACACACACACACACACACACACACATATATATATATACACACACACACACATACAGCATACCTTAAAACTATAAATATAATTTTATTGCCAATCTCATAATATAAAATCCGTACATAGGAAGCATAATCCAAATAGGTCTTTTTAATATAAATTATTAAAAAGATAGATCCATGAAGAGAGTTTAATGTATCAGAATACAGAGCAATATAATAGACATCAAAGGAAAAACTCAATACATCATTAAAGAAATCGGTAATAATTTATTTCAGACAGGCAACTGCATATATATATATATATATATATATATATATATATATATATATAAAACAGTATTACTCGCTTGAAAAACCTTGGATGACTCAACTTGTAGACACCTGAGGGCAAATTGGTATCTGAGGGAAAAATTGGAAGCAAAAAAAAAAAGAAAGAACTAAAAACATCAGAACAAGAGCCAGTTTAGCCTGAAGATCCGTTTAGGTAAGACTTAGGTAGGCTTGCCTGGCTCGTTAGGTTTTATATATATATATATATATATATATATATATATATATATATATATATATATATATATATATTTGCAAATTTTAAAGTATCATAATTTGTAATCTTCAAATTTATCAATTATTTTATTTTGACATGAAACTCGTGCATAGGCTGATCAGATAAGTCAATTAACTTTCCCTTAATTTATTGAATGTTATAGCTCTCATTATCTCCTGGGTAATTTTTGGCAGAAGTTCTACCCTAAAAAACATAATTCTTGAAATTTTCATGTATTTTCTCATATGCCAGCATTTTTCTACTTGAACAGCATGGTAGAATTTAATTGAAAGACTGAAGCTAGACAGAATACACAGACCCTACACTTTGATCTTTGTTAGATGGCCAGTGAGTGATCCTAATTCCTCTAATCCACATGTAAATAATCTTGCCATGTTTGTAAGTGTTACAATTGTAAATATGGAATGAAAGGTGAAAATATATACCACGATGAGAAATGAAGACTCTAACCCAGCATATTTCATTGTTTATTCAGGGATTCACTTGACCAGTTTGAGGGTGGGGATAGGTAGATGACACTTGGGATAACTTCTATCAATTCTGACTTCTCAGAATAACAGATTAGCTTTTACCCCCTCAAACAGAGAGAACACTCTCTTCTACTATCCCTCTGTGCCATGACGTCCAGTGTGTAATTCTCAAGGGTGGTATCAGAACTATCTCGATGAGCAGCCTAGTCTCACCTATGGGTGGTCGCAAACTCCCTTTAATCCCAATTCTGACTGTTAATATAAGGCTGTGACTGGAAGTCTTTGATGTCCAGTATGTTGTCACTTGTTCCCAAAAGTTTGCATTTATTTATGATTTATACTCTTTTAGTCAAGTGTGTTTGCTTTGGAAGACCCCATTTCACAGACTTTATTGTTGATCACAAAAACATAAAACATTTGTTGGTGTCTCAGTCATTGTCACACAATACTAGTAAAGAAATACTTATTGGTTAGAATTCTGTATTTTTGTAATGCCTTCAGTCATTTTAAAATAAATTAATAATTGCTTTTTGGTATACTTTTGCACTTTGTAGATATTTGGGACCACAATTATGGAAATATAAGAAAATAAAGCAGCCATCCATAGGTAACTATTAATAGTTCTGAAGGAAGTACCACACATCTTGTATGAATAAAGTTTTGTCTTAATAGGCGAATTTGATGGCATCATATATAATAGGTGATTAGTGGTGGTGGGGGGGGACAATCTTCAAACAATCTGTTCTTCTCCAATGTCTTTTATTCATTTCTTTACACTTTGACTTTCTTGTAACTGTTACACTATCTTTTCTTTATAGATGGCATTTTCTACTTGTTTTTATAATTTATTCAATTGTTAAAATCAGTTTTTTTTTTTTTTTTTTTTTTTTTTTTTTTCTGTATAAGATTTCTTTTATGATTATTTAGATTAGTGTTACATTTATTTTATAAGTTTTTAAAATCTTAATTTTTTTTAATTTACCTTTTTAGATTTTTTTTTTTTAATTTTTTATATTTTAAAAAAAATTTTTTTAATTTTTACTTTTTTTTTTAAAAAAAATTTCACTTTTTAAAACTTTTCACTTTTTTAAAATTTTCACATTTTTTTTAATTTCGACTTTTTTTTAAAATTTTCTTTCTTGAAAAAGTTTTTTTTTTTTTTTACATTTTTAAAAAAATTTTACTTTTTTTTAAATTTTTACTTTTTTTTTAATTTTTTACTCTTTTTTTTTTTTAATTTTTTACTTTTTTTTTTTTTTTAATTTTTTACTTTTTTTTTTTTTTAATTTTTTACTCTTTTTTTTTTAATTTTTTACTCTTTTTTTTTAAAATTTTTTACTCTTTTTTTTTTTTTTTTTTTTTTTACTTTGGGTGGGGGTTATTTTACTTTTATTTTTTACGGTTTTATATTTATGTATTGAAATATGTTTTGTTGTAGGTGTCTTTGTAATCATTTCACATCTTTTCATCATAATTATTAACCAATCATTCCTTTATCGTAGATAGCATTTTCTTCGCTTTATTGTTCTCCAAGTTGTACAAATCATGTTTTCTTCTTTCCATAAGCACATTTTACCATTATTTAGATTAGCTTAACAAGTTTTTTGTTTTTCTTTTTTTAAATTATTTTTTTCTATAGGATATTTTTTTTTTTTTTTTTTTCTTATTGTATTGAAATGAAATGTGTTTTTGTTTTAGGTGTCTTGAACAATCACTGCAAATCATTTTGATATTTTCCAGGGCATTATAAAACTATCAACAATATGGACCAGTACTATTGAAAACTTGTTCGAACCGTGACAAATTTACTCATTAAAAAAAAAAATAAATAAAAATAAAAAAAAAAAAAGAGAAAGAATTATATAAATTTCACCATCAACAATTTTGAAGAAAAAGAATGAAAAGAAGGCAGTATACATATAAATAAATTTTCCTTTTTAAAAATCCAAATCCAATTTTTGACAGTACTGTATTCCTTCAACAGAGAGTTGGACATGGAGGTTGCTGGTATATTTGTTTTATTTTTTATTCTTTCGAGTAAAATATTTTGGAATCAATTTTATTTTTAAAAATCTTAAAAGTAAAATATTCTATTTGGCAAAATAGGTTTGTCACTAACATTTTACTGTGTCAATATGTGTATGTGCTTGAGGAGTCTTCCAAAGATTTTGAGTTCAACACGCTTAATGATTAGACAACATGAAAATAATACATTTCAACAAAGGTTACTTTCAGTCAATCATGACTGTGCTTTGCCTTCAAGGTATCTCCAAAAGGCAGACGAACTGTAAAAAGAAAAAAAGAAAATGATCAATCAAGGGCTCCCCTCTCCCAACAATCCTCAGCAGGCCAACTGATGTCAACAAAGGGCAATCCTACTGGTAGATATTGTGTATATGATCTCTCTCAAATAGAAATCACAAGAAAATATCAAGAGTAATGAAAAATGTTCATTAGACACATGTTCAATCTCACCATGGCTGGTTTCTCAGCAAAATCACTTCTTTATTTAACTGGTAATCCCAGCATGCAGCACCCATGTAAAAAAAACAAAAAAAACCCTCCACTGTGTCGACTCAAAACTTTTGAGTGGACTCAACTGTTTTGCAGCCAACAAGAGTTGTGCTAGCATGAAGTCATATGTCATCGTGACTGAAGCTTTGCTCAAACTATCTGACACCCAAGCTTATGTGCTCTGTACCAGAAATTATAACTTGGGTCCATATATATATATATATATATATATATATATATATCTCCAGGTAAAATGAGAACAAATGAAGTAGGATTCCACTGTACTAAGGAGACACATTTGTAGTGTCAAAACAATTATGTAGTGATTTTTAACATGTTTTAATATCCTATTTGAATATTTCAGGATGCTTGTCTGGACCCTGACATATGTAAAATCACAAAACTTTAAGTCTACCTTCAATAAGTATCCTGAGCTTTCATATTTTTGATATATTGAGCACTATATTGACAAAATTCTCTTCACCTTGATATATGTTAAATTATATAATTTAACATATGTCAAGAAGTTATTATAGGCAAGAGATTATAATGCCATTAAATAAAACCATACTGAATTATTGTAAAGAGGGTCAAAACATTTGGAATACTCCTTGTGTGTGTTTGTTTTAAATTTTTATTGAGACTATTGTGTGTCTGTGATGATTGCATTTCAAGTTTCTATTTTTTTTAAAAAAAAAAAAAATTTTATCAGAAAACTATGGTATG